GGGGGCGGGGCGCCGCTGGCATGGTGACAAAGCTACTCTACGAGCTCATCAGATTGAACTGGTGCTCTCTGTTCTCTCTGGGCTTGCTGACCAGGCACAGCCAGTGAAATGCTCAGTGTAGGCAATGGGGGCTGTGTGTTCACAAACACCTCTGAAGTCCAGAGTTACGGTTTTGAACTTGTAATACTTATCTGCCGTAATATTGGGAGAAAGGGAAGTGGTATAATCAGCAACCCAGAGGTAGCTCACCACAGCATTTGGGACAAGTGGAAGGAGAGAGACTCACGAGGAAGTATTATGATTGCCTGCCTAGTGGTGAGGAAAGGGTGCTCTGAGGAGGATCTGACCAAAATCAGTTGGAAAGAACACCACATACCCCTGGTTTGAGAGTAGGACAGTGACCTGCTCCACCTATCACAGAGTTAAGTGGAACTTTGCAACCAAGGCCTGTGTGTGATGGTGGCACTGCTGTTCCAGTGACCGTGAGTAGGATTGTCATGATTATGAAACATGGCCACCGGGCACCACCAGTTATTCATGAGAGGTTCTTGCCGTAAGTGACATTCAAGAAATGTCTCGATTCCTTACTTCCCCACCCTTACAGAATATTTTGTTTCTTGTTCAACAATGATAATGACAACTATGATTGAAATGAACCTGAGAAAATTCCTATGTTTAATATGTATCTTTATTCTTGTAGGCCTCTTTTTCGTGGAAGTTCAGATGTGGATCAACTAGGAAAAATCTTGGAGTAAGTAATAACTGTAATTTTACACCAGTGCCCGTAGCATTAGAACATTCACGGTGACTTTCCTCTGACGTTCACATAATGCGTTTATCTCTTGTCTTTCCTGCCCCAAGCTGCTGCCGCAGACAGTGTTACTATTTGTGTGGTGAGTGGGGACACGGTAGACCTGCTGTTTTATGCAGAACCCGTCATGACGGGCGGCCTGACCGTTCTGCTCTGGAGGCTTGTATGTTGCTCGTGTGGATTGTTGCACTGCTCCTCTTCTTTGCTTGGCTGACCTCCTGTTCTTTAGTTCAGGTGTGTTGCCTGCCTGGGGTCATTTCAGATGCATCCACCATCAGAAGTGCGTTGCTTGGTGGCCTGGTAACCCATCCTTGCCCACTGGGCTTCCTGTCCCCATTGAGTATCCTTTAGGCATCCAGGTTGGTTTGGCATTGTTTTCCTGGACAAAGAATGGTGTGCGACACAATCCATTTTTCTTTGGAGCACTGCGATAGGAAATGAGAATCCTAGGTTCTAATCCTATGCCTGTGGCTAAATAACTGTAATCTTGAGTAAGTCACTTAACATACCCTAAAAAGAGCTTCCACGGTGCCTGCTACGTAGTAAATGCTTTTAAAATGTTAGCTGTTTTTATCATTCGTTATTAATTGTTTAACCATTTTGTTCCTCAACTTCTTTACCTGAGAAATGAAACTTTGGGCTTAAATTTTCTTTACGTTCCCTTCTTGTGCTTCAAATCCTTGGTTCCAGTTGTCTGTTACATAGCTCCTCGCTGATTTGCAGAGTTCCATTCATGTCTGCATGTGTGCATGTGAAGGTATGGATGCTTTCATGTATCTAGAATGTAAAAGGGGGGGGGCTTTTCTTCTCACAAAGCATGCAGTATGGCATCCTTTGGGGATTTGTGCATTTGCCAAGTCCCATCAAAATTGGGGTGGAGTAGGAAGAAAGTGGGAGTTGTAGAACACATAAAAAAGCCCTGATCATTGGTCTTTGACATTTTCTAGGAATCCTGGTGATTTTTATGATATTTGTAGCCTGTAAAACTGGGGAGAAGTACCCCTGGAGAAAAGGATTCTATTTTAACCCCATCTATCCAAGCATGACTGCTTAAAACAGTTGGAACACAACCGGAACCTGACTGTGTTCTTTGGGTAACTGGAAACAGCTCCCGTAGACATCTGTTAGCACCAGTGCCACTGCTGAGTCAGGACCCGGTGGCTTTGAGGTCTGAAAAACATTTGCTCGTTTTATTGTCGGTGGCTGCCTGGGTCCAAGGCAACTGCCACAGCTGCTGCTCCTACTGCTGCTTCTGAACACTTTGTACGATGGGTGGTGCAGGACAGAACTGGCTTCTGAGTGTCCAGTTCTTTGTCATTGAGTGATGAACTCCATCTCTCTTCCCATCACTGTTGAATATAGTTGGTGTGTATGTGATTTTTAAGAGGGACGTGGGAAAGTCAGACCCTCTGTGGGAAGGAAAGCAGCTTGCCAGGCAGTGAAGCCCTTCACCTGCTTTCCCTACTGACACCACCTGGACACCTGGGCTACCTCCAGCACTGGTGTCTGCGATCTTGTTAACGTTGTTGGTGCCCCTGAGTATAACGTAGCCAGTGAGATGGACCAGGAGCAACCTTTGCTCAGCCTGTTTGACTTGCTTCCATGGGAAAGCCGGTTCCACCTTTGGCAAAGGCCTGAGATCCTAGGTTGCAAGCGGAAAGAAGCCATGAAGTCCTACATGTTCTATACTCTTAGATTTTACTTCTTGGTTGTTTCCTCTAACTGCAGTCATTACTTTGGCGTAGAGAAAAGGGACAATACTGCACCCTAGTGTCACTTCTCAAGTACTTGAAAAATGATTTCTGTCCCCACCTTCACTGCCAATTATAGGTTTTGTGCTCTGTCATTCTTTCTGGTACAAATGTCAACTTTTAAGGCTTATAGTCAGCTGTCCAAATACTGAAATTTGATGCAGGCACTTTTTAATGGGCCTATCAGAATTTCACCACGCTCACATATGGGCCATAAAAGCTCATACTGTATGAAACTGAATTTTTAAAGAAAGTTATATTCGCATTCTCTTTAAGGGGGAAAAAATGTTGGTGTTTAGGAAGATTTATACTTTCAAAGAACAGCAAGTACTTTGAAAGTGAAACTGAATGCTTTTCGCCTGTGGCATTTTGGAGCATTTTTAAGACCAGAGTCATCGTTAACTAGAACCAAAATATTGGGTTTGGAATAAGGAGAATTGGGTTCACTCCAGGCTCTGTGGCTAAACTCACTATGTGTGGCTTTAGCAGTCTATTTCATTCCTGTAACTCAGTTTCCCCATCTATAAAACAGAAATAGTAATACCTGAATAGTAGCGGTAATACATGTCATGGGAGGTTGTTAGAGGGATCAGGGGAGGTGATAGACTTACAAACACTTTTAAAAGTTATTTATGTAAACATGTATATAATTATATACCACATATACATACAGAGTCCCTATTTTTCGGAGGGCTTTTGGCATTCAGCTGCCCATATTGCCAGATTTAACTCAATATAAATATATTGAAAGCTGCAAATAAAAAGATTTTAAATTATTACTAATAGTTGTTGTAACCAGTTTCTAGGTAACTAACTGGTGCTGGTATGCAAATATATTAATATAAAAATGGCTAAAAAATAAAAGTGAATGAAAGAAAAATTTTGAAGTTCTTTAATAAGCATTCTTCTTTTCTTCCTCTCCCATTCTCATACATATTTATTTTCTTTAATAATTTGTAGTGAGGTGTTTTTCTTCTTTGTACTCTTATTCTAATCTTGCTATTAAGCAAATTTTGTACAGTTGCCATTTCCATTCATTTGTTCCAGTAAATATGTCCCTGACTCTGTTTTTATCTGCCTCGATAACATGGCTCTCCCAGCATATCCTACAGAGGCAGGATTGTCTTTGCCCAGACTCCCGCCGATGAGTACAGTTATGACACACTGTCTGCTCTCCCCAGGGGAGGTCTAGGACCTGGGCTTCGTTTAGGTGAGAGAAGGGGAACAAAGCCCTATAGAGATCCTATGACATTTGGCACCACATCTTCCTGAAACTTGGAAATCCATTCAGGAGAACTCACCCCTCTGGGCCTTAGTCCCAGCGAGGGCAGGCCAAGAAGACCCTAATGCAGGCAGGCCAGCAGCATTTCTAATTGTAGTTTAAATTGTTTGTCAGTATTTGAATAGTCATAGATTCTGTTCACTAAATTATAATTTTTTCGTTTAGAATTAATCAGTCTATGTGAGACATAAGTTTTTGCATCCCCTGATTTCCTTTGTTCAAATCTACTTAACTGCCTATACAAACACTATAAATAAGATCTACATAATGTATATTATGTTGTTTAAAGCCACTGATCTACAATATTTCTGAAGAATCTTAAATTATGCATTGCTAGAACTCAAGCAGTTCATATGTTAAGGTGGTAGTGCCAACACATTTTAGATTAATGTTCCCTCTTATGGATAGTAATAATGGGTAATGTATTGATGTTGACAAGTACTCATTGTATAAAAAAGACACTGAAATTCATAGAAGTTAAGCAATTTCTCCTTACCTATCCATAAGTGGCAGGTGTAGAATTTGAACCCACATCTGCCTATTTCCAAAGCCTGTGTTGTTTTTACATTATTTGATGCTCTGTCCACATTTCTGGGCTCAGAATCATTTTCAGGGAAAACATAAATGAATACTGTTTTTATTTATTTGCTCACTTTGGAATACCTTGAAATAGTTATGCAATAAAAACATATAAATTAATTTTGATGTTAAATTATAAAATAGTGTTTGCATAACACAGGACGAACATACCTTCCAGCCTCTTCTTTTTGTCTGATTCTAATGGATGTAGTTGGGGAATTAATCTTTAACCAAGATTATATGTTAAGAAATGATGTTACATGAGCATCATAAAAGCAGGTCGATACCAAAGTGCTTGATCAGAACACAAAAAGCAATCTTAAGCATAAAAGAAAATGTTCTGTGCCCATGTGGGTCTACTTTTAATATATAGGTCCTGCCCTGTCAGTATGTCAGGGCTTATTGGTAGTAGAGTATTTTCCATTTCTTCATTATCTCTTCTGTTTACTGTCTGCTTCCAGAGGAATCTCTTATCTCTTCCCAGCGAATTTTACAATTCTCCTGTGAGATTACCCTCTACCCATGATCACCGTATTGCAGCTGAACAGAGAGAAATGAGCATCCTGCCAGTCATATAAGTGAGGGGCTCCGGGGCTCTGTGCCCCCCGTGCCTGCCCCTTAGACTTTACCTTCATCTAGAATTTGGTGGGAAAATAGCTTCTGCGTAGCAGCAGATGCTGATGTTCACATGTGTTTTTCTTTTGTAGCGTAATTGGACTCCCAGGAGAAGAGGACTGGCCTAGAGATGTGGCCCTTCCCAGGCAGGCTTTTCACTCAAAATCTCCTCAACCTATTGAGAATTTTGTAAGCGACATTGATGAACAAGGCAAAGACCTCCTTCTGGTAAGTTCAGGCGATGCAGAGTTGACCTGCACTGTGCTGATGAGAGACTTGCCCTGTCCCCTCTAGGTGGTGGGAACAGCATCAGTTCAGCATCACGTGCCACAACCTCACAAGGCATGAGCCGCAATCTCTCTGCAGCTCTCTTTCCCACACCTAGACCGGAAGGAGTCAGTGCTCCCATTCTGTAGTGTATTCTGAATTTCAGATACAGACGTAAGAGTCTATAGGTCTTAGTAGAAATGTTGTGCTTCAGCTCTGGGTGGGCACAGCCAGTGGTTGGCATGTCTGCAGAGCCATTGATGTTCCCAGTAGAAACTCACTCCATCTTCCCCTGATGGTGGCTCATTTTCTGATGCTTAGGCAATGGTTCCCTCCACTGCCAAGTTACGAATAAGGACAGCTAAACTTCCTCCCCACTGTTTATTCCTACGGCCTGTATCCTTTGGTGTATAAAATATGGCCACCATAGGCTTTCCTTTTCAGCAGGAACTTTGAATGACAGACAGTGTCACCTGCTCATTTAGGGTGCCCCCCTAGCAGTGGTGGCTTTCAAAGTCAGACAACACACTAGTGCTAGACTGGGAAAGTAGCAGGAGACAAAGAAGAAAAATGAACAAAGACACGTACCAAAGAGAGAAGGAAGAAGCAAGTTGAGGAATAAGAAGCAGAACCAGTGACATCGGGACTAGGGGAAACTTAGGCATAAAGCATAATATCCACAGGCGTTCAGGGAAAGGACAGCCCGAAACCACACAGCTCAGAACTGTCTGAAGCTGCTGGGGGACCCAGGCTAGAACTAGAAAGCAGAAGATGGGCCACTTGGTGCAAGATAGGCAGCCGTGCCCCCAACAACACCCGTTGCCTCTATTGGAAATCATTTACTAAAGAAAAATGAAGACTGTGTTAGAAAGTTTGTGTTATTTAAGAAACGGTTAACATTTGGAAGTTTAGCATGTTAAATTATTCTTCATTTTCATCTGGAAAAAAAAGGTTGACTTTATATCATGCCTCAATCATATATGTATGGACATGTATACAACATTTATAAATGCTCTTATATACATACAAGGGTGGGCGAAAACAGGTTTGAGCTGTGAGTGACATTCTTTTGAGTTAGTAAAGCTATTGTCATCATAACCTGCATGTCTTTTTCCATATGAGCAACTGTAGACCTACTTTTGCCCACCCCTGTATATAAGACAATGCAGGGGGAAATTATTTTTAACAACTGAAATCGACACATCTTTTCGAGTTTTGTCCCCTTGGTTATGGTTAACTTGGGAGGCTAAATACTTATTCCAAATATGATGCTTTTGCTGAAAAAAAAATGTTAGAGTTCCTGCTATCTAACTGTTTTCAGAGCCTGAGGCACTTTTTTTTTCTGTCATTGTACTTAGCCTGCTTTTGCTGCATAACAAATAACAAAACAAAAAAATACTAGCATATAACAGTGAGCATTTCTTCCTTGCTCATGGGTCTGCAGATTGGCAGGGCAGCTCTCCTCCTGCCTTCAGGTCAAGTACAGGCCTTTCCGTGAGCCTTATTCTGGGGCCCAGGCCAGAGAGGCTTCAGCTCCTTGGAGCATGTTTTTCTCCTGGGAGAAGGCGGATGCTCCCAAAAGGGCAAGCAGAAGCATGAGAAGGCCCTGAAGGCCTAGGCTCGGAAAGCCTCCCTGCTCCTTCTGTCCTCATTCCACTGGCCAGAGCAAGTTCCATGGCCAAGGCCAACCTTGGGAGAGGAAAGAATGCTCTCACCGTGGAGGGAGGGAAGGGAAGAAAGGGAATATATGCTGGAAAAGTGCAGATCCTCTTAAGTAAGTTGTAATTTCAAACAGTCATTTTATAAGTCAGTGTTTTGAGGAAGTAAATTAAATGTTCTTGCAGAAACAATATTATGACATGAGATTTTTTTAATACTCAAGCCAGCCAGTTGTGCCATTTGGGGTAGAGCAATAATAGATCTTAGCCATCTTTCCCAACACTATTTCTATAGGACATAATGTATTAAGACTTGAAATTCTCACACACCCCCACATGAAGCTAAGGAATTCTCCTCCTCTCTCCCCTCTTTCCAGCTCTAAGCCATCAGTATAACTGTGGGAACAGGGCTTCCTCCCAGAGAAGCCTCTAGGGACGTCTCTGTATCTTGAACACATTCCCACAACTTTTTTTTAAATATATTTTTATTGATTTCAGAGAGGAAGGGAGAGGGGGGGAGAGATAGAAACATCACTGATTGGCTGCCTCCTGCACAACCCACACTGGAGATCGAGCCCACAACCCGGGCATGTGCCCTGACCGAGACTCGCACTGTGACCTCTTGATTCATAGGTCGATGCTCAACCATTGAGCCACACCGGCTGGGCTCCACAATTTTTTATTTCTTCTTTTCTATGTTCTGGGGATTAAACTGGCTGCTTCTTTTTCTAATGCCACTACCTAACTTTCTTCTTCTTAGACTCTGGAGAGAGAGCTGTCTCAAGAATTTTGCCCCTACTCTCCTGTCCTTTGGGAATTCGTCCCTTCCTTGTAAAGCTTTTCTCAAAATGCTTGTTGCTATTAGAGACAGTAGAACCGTTCCGTGAACGAGCTCCTTCCTCTGCTTGTCCTTTTGCTCTTGATTTTCAGAAGACACTGTGAGGAGGCTAGTACCCATGGACTGGTAGGGAGCTCAGGATAAGCAAGATTTCTGGGGACTCAAAAATTCGCCTGAAGTTATATGTAGTATTTTCTATGTGTACATGGTTTCCTATGTCAATCACGTTTAACAGAGCTCCTGAAGAGCAGAAACCCAGATTAAACGGAAGTGGTCTTCATAGCCATAATAACGTTAAGTCTTTAGATTACATAGAAGACTCAAATACATAGACATGTCAGATACCCAGCTCACTGCAGTGCATCATGCCTCACAGAGATGAAAAAGCTGTTATAGCTTCCCTGCGACTTGTGAACTCCCAGGGCACTGCTTGCCACCCGCTGGGTACTCCTGCGGTGTTGGTGGAAGGAAAAGTGTGGACTTGAAGAACAAGATTGCTTGGGGTTGGATTGGAAATGGACTGAGATTAGGGAACTTTTCTGGCTAATTGATTAGGAATCAACAGTTTGGGGATGGAGATCGCTGCTCCACGGATTCACCTTTTCCTCCTTTCCCCTTCTACCTGCACTTTGAGTTCACAGCCTGGAATAGAGTTTAGAGACTTGAATTGAATCTAACGGATTCCTTCTGGGGATGCTGCTAGCCCATATGGCACTTTGATGTGAATTAGAAGGAAGGCATCCCTCTGCTGGGGCAGGGTGCATGGCTGGCTAGTAGATTAGGATAATTAGCATCTAGATTTTAGCCTGACACGCCTCCTCCTTAATAGAGAAAGCCTTTATTTCCTGGCTTGACATGTGTTTGTTTTTTTTGTTGTTATTTTGTTTTGTATTTTATTTTAGGAATTTGTCAGAAACTGTTTTGGTTTGGAGAGCAGTTCAGTAATTACCCTTTACACTTGAACAACACCTTGCCATTCTCTGCTCATTGACAAACCTTGTAGGAAGACTTCAGAGATAGGGTGAAGTCTCTGACTATGGCACAAAGTTTGCTAGCATTAGAAAAATCACTACCTAAAGAAAATGACATGCGTACTACAATAATAATAATAATAATAATAATAATAATAATATATTTTAAAGGACCTGGGTGGGTTGTAGAGAAATTCTGGGTAGTAACAGTCCACAGGCAACCCAAAAGGTGTTGCCTTTTTCTGAGGGGCAGTTTATACATTAAGGATATATATAAAATGAGAACTGTCTACAGCAAGCATGTCAAACTCGCGGCCCACGGGCCCCATACAGCCCACAACAAATATTTTTGCGGCCCAGCCAATATAATGGCATGTAAGGAACGTTTTAATAAAAATTTCATAACTTAATTTTTACAATATCGTGTTATACTTAATTATTAATAACAAACTACAGTGTTCACTAATGACTGATTACTATAATCGTTTTGCATTCATTTATTTCCCTTACGCGCAGGTGCACCATTTCTCTCCACTAATACTAGCAGCGAATATTTTAGCAGCCGATTGCCACGTCATTAGTCTGTACTGACTTGTTTGGTGTGTGCAACAGGAAATATTTCACTTTCGGAGAAAAGAAACATAGGTTTATTTGCGTTATGCTTATTAATTTGTGCAGTTATTCTGTGTCTGGTAAGTTAATGTTCAAGAAAAAATACTAATTTTTATTAAAATGTTCTATTATTTTATGTTAACAATTACTCATTTCAGCCCTTTGTATTCAGCATGTCTCTATCGAAATAAACCTACGTTTCCATGAAAATTGAAGCTTTTGTTTTTTTGCGGCCCACATAAACTTAAACCTTGTTTATTTGGCCCGTGTTAGTCTTTGAGTTTGACATGCTTGGTCTACAATTTACTTACTGTCCCTTGAAATAGATACTCATTCTCATTAGAGACACACATAATTCATGGTAGTGAAGATGTAACTACCAGAGCACATTTTTTTAAAGGAACATGTTTCATGTCAATCGATTTTTTTTTTCTTTATCACAGAAGTGCTTGACATTTAATCCAGCCAAAAGAATATCTGCCTACGGTGCCCTGTCTCACCCATACTTCCACGACCTGGAGAGGCGCAAGGAGAGCCTGGATTCCCACCTGCCGCCCAGCCAGAACAGTTCGGAGATGAATATAGCCTGAGCTCCCAGCCGCCGCCTCAAGCGGATCCCCTGGTGTCTTATGGGTCCCCCTGCGTCAGCCCCTGCAGAGCTGCGGAAGATCACCAGCCAGGGACCTTCTAGCTGCCGTCTTCTGGGTGGGCTCTGCTTCTCCGAGGAAACGGCTTAGTTTACTGTTTGAAATCAATGCAAGAGCGATTGCAGCTTTATGTTCGTTCGTTGTGTGTTTGTCTGTCTGTCTGTGTCAAAACCCTGGAAAAATTGTAGAAAAAGAGAAGCTGCTGACCAATCGTGCTGCCATTTCATTTTTCTAACCTTGAGTGCTGCCAGAGTAAAATGAGCAATCCAGGCACAGCTGATTGTGACGGATCTCCCTGCAGCTGCCGGGCCTGATTTGGTACTTTTGAGTGAACGTGTTGAGTGAGTGTGTGTGTGATTTTTGATCTCTTAAAGTGTTACTCTCTGTAAATGATGAGAATTGAATTCTGGGGATTCAAAGTGACCAGTACGTAACAGGCATCTGTGGACCAAAGGTGGTTCACCAGGATGGGCTCCTGAAATTAGAGAGTTGAGCCTATGTCCTCAGAATTTCTCTTCTGGCCACAAGTAGTAAATTTGTTAGTAGTGAAATGTTCACTATCTAGATGAAGTTTTAGACACACATCAAAGAGGAAAAAAAATTTTAGTATCTTTAAGAGACCTATTTTTTAAAGCACACATTTCATTTACTCTTCCAAAAGCTGAATTTACTCATTCTAAGTACATTTTAACCTGTATAAAATGCTTTATTGTTTCTTTTTTTAAAAATGCCCTATAAGCTTTTTTCTCACTTGCTTTGGTTTTAGGGAATGCACCTCAAATAGGTGCAAAACATAGAGAAAGCCTTTATTTCCTGGTTTGAAATGTATTTCCTTTTTGGTTCTTTTGTTGTTGTTGTGGATTTTAGGAGTTTGTCAGAAACTGTTTCCTCGTTTGGTTTAGAGAGTAGTTCTCTGACTAGAGACAGGAATGCCATTTGAATTTTTCCACCTGTGACACTGTACTTTTTCTACAATGCACTGCCTTGTTTGCGAAGTATCCATCTTTTCTATCCCCCAGCGCCTCGGATAAATATTACTACCCTTACATTACCGATGACAGGTTACTTAAGCTGTTTGCATGCACTTTCTTCTTTCTTTCAATGAACCTTTCGTAAATAGATTCAGATTATGGTTTATGGCTCTAATTCCACGATCCCTAACAGGGTCCCTATGCTCTCACTCTAATGCAATCTTCCTACCTGTCAGCCCCCGTTGTTACGTAGACAATGAGTGGAAGACTGGTTCTTCTGTATCACCAGCACATAGATGGCTTTAAACTGTTACTTCGTGTTTTACGTTTTTATGGAGTATATTGTCAGTGTAGTATCTGAGGGAATATCTTTTAACTATTTTTTTTTTTAGAAAGAAATATTTACTCTAATCTTTTCTCCTTCCTTCAGGCTGTGCTCCCTTCCAGTGCCTCGTGCACACTCCTGCTCTCTGCGGAGCCAGCCTGACTTGGGCATTGTGAATAGCTTTACTCTTCCTCTTGCCATTTTCTCTGTAGGTACTTTATAGTTCATGCCATCACTGCCTTATTTGTGGTGAGTGCTCATTTGGCTCTAATAAGCAGAAGACACCGAGTAAGTATGTTTGAGGAATTTTAGCTACTTTGCCTTCTGACTCATGTTTTGAGTTCATGCAACCATTAGACCATGTTTTAGGGTTAGAGCTTTCAATGAATGGACATTGCTTCGCTGAGTAGAAAATATTCCAGGTGATGTTTGTGTGTAGTCAAGCCTTACCGAATTCCTCACAGCTTAATATTGTATGTGACTATCTTGAACAAGAGAAAAATTGGGAGTTTTCTCCTTGACAGTTTTTCGGATCAGGAACCATTCTTTTTTTAATCCATTTTTTTAATAGTGTTCTGATTCAGTAACTTGAAGAGCAGGAAAATTATTCTAAAGTAAGATATGGTGTTGCCCTATGAACCAGGAGATCACAGTTCAGTTCCTGGTCAGGGCACATACCTAGGTTGCAGGCTTGATCCCCAGTAGGGGGCGTGCAGGAGGCAGCCGATCAATGATTGTCTTCATTGATGTTTCTATCTCTCCCTGTCCCTTCCTCTCTGAAATCAATAAAAATATATTTTTAAAAAATAAATAAAATAAAGACACGGATGAGAAGATGGGCCATAAGAATGTTTTACACTTTCTTCATTGTGACAGCATTATGTTTTGTCACCACTGTAAATGCTTGAGATATAATGAATCCAGAGCATTTAGGACTAGGTAGACTAGCATTCTCCCATGGAAATGTGAGTTCTGCCTTTTCTTTTGGTTGGGAGCAATATACAAAGATGTTTTTGCTAGGGCCTAGAAATTGAATTTTAAAACTCACTGCACTGATTGATTATGAGCTTTTCTGTTAGTATTCATGGCTAGAGTGAACATAACTTGAGTTTTTGCTTTTGCAAAAGTTTTCACAAGTTTGCTCTAGAAAAATGCAGCTTTTCTAAACTGGAATTTTTTCAGCATTCTTTAGAATTTTAAACAAGAGCTCAACTTTTATTTCTAGCATATACTTTGGGGTCATTTCTCAGTAGTGTGTATAAAGAAAACTTAAAGCACAAACTTTAAGGTATTAGATCCTTAGCAGATTATCCTCTGCGAGGCAGAATGAGAGGGCATCTCAGCCTCTCTGAACTTGTTAAGAGTCTGCCCCAGCTCTTCCATGATTGTGGCTGTGACACTTGAGTGATTACTCTCCTGTTTTCTGTTATTTCCATCAGGTCACCACGTCTGAAATCCAGATCCCACACAAGCGCCCTTGCCGTTAGGTTCTTGGAAGCATATAGCAGAGTGCAAATTTACTGAATGCAGCGCATTCTTCTGTGACATATGTTTTCAGACATCTTTGCCAGAAGCTAGGCAGTGGTCAGCTGCAAAGGTCAGACTGCCCCAGAGTTCCCTGAAAGCAGCTTATAGCAGTAGAAATACGGTGAGCGATTTGAAATCACATTTGAGTTTCTCTCTAGGACTGGTCCAAGAATGTACATGATAGTTTCTATATCATATTCTGTCCTGGCAGCCCAGGCATTGTGGGAACTGTTGTGCAGGGTAGACTTGTTAAAACGTACATTTACAAAGAGTAAAGAAGAAACTTGCCCCTTTAGTCATAATAGTTAGCTGTTGCATGGCAAAGGTTCATAAAGCCCTGACCCTATCGCCGCCTTAAAAACACAATTTGTAAGAGCTTGTAAGAATCAGGTGCATTGGAGCCTCCCACTTCATCTCTCCTTTGAAGTGGGTGGGAACTCAAGGAGCAAAGAACCAGTTTTGGAAGAAAGCTCTGGGCCACTTCAGATTCTTTCATTCTCATGATTTTCTCTCAGGAAACACGCACTGTGAATGGCAGGCTTTTCGTTTAGCCCCAGGTGACTTACTAAAAATAGTTCAAAATATTCACCTAAGAATAGAATCTCAGCCTTTTAGTTTTAAGTAAAAATGAATATTTCAGAATGCACAGGATGTTAATATTTTAAAGAAAACATGTTCTTTTTAATAGAGAAATTTATAGTTTGACTCCATGATGTGGTCCTATCCATAATGATGAGAAAAACACTTCAATTGTACCAAACATTTTGAATCTTAAATTATGTATTTAAAATGAGCTTTTAACCAATTATAGCTCCTTCTCTGAAAAGTAGTGCCAGTAAGAGTCAGTAACGGCAATTTCTACCCGTCATGGAAATTTAATCATGTAAGCTTCCTAATATAAACATATTAAATTTCTTCTCTCCAAAGAATTGCTTCTTTTCTTTTAAGTGACAACTTGACTATTTTTATGATAAGTATATGAGAGTTATCACACATTTTCCAAAAGCAGGCTGTGTTGCATACTTGGCTCTAAGAAAGAATAATGTTAAAAGTTTAATAAGCCCCGAGAATTACTTAATTATGGTGATATAGAGACTATAGAATATTTACTTTGGCAAGAAAATACTGAAATGTTATCAATTCATAGATATTGTTAGAATTCATAAGAATGCATGTTTTACATTGTGATATAAAAATAAAGATATTAAATGATTTCTAATTCTTTAAAAATCAAAAAAAGAGAAAGCTATCGATAGAGGAAATTCTAGAGAAAATTAAGGTATTTAAAGAAGAATATTTCAAAGTGAAATATATTTTGAGGGACATATATTTTAACAAACATATTGTAAGAATTGATATTGAAGTCATCTGACAACTATGAACTTGGAAAAGCCATTTCAAACAATTACCATTTCAAAAATTGAGCTGAGCAAACTAAACCATCTGTATTCCTTTCTCATTTCATGGAAAAAAGCAGCCATATGAAGCTACACTTGTTAGGCAAGTCTAAGATTGTTCTTTTAAAAAAAGTAAATTTTAAAAAGGCATGTGCTTCCTATGCCACCAGGACTTTTGAATAATTGTGAAACCCAAACCATTTACCATGTGCATATGCATTTAATGCATGCAGATATATGAATAGGAGGATAGTTCCATATTTCTTCTCCGCAGTGTAGAAACTTCTTGAGGTGACCAAAAAGCTGTCAAGCCATGTGAGTCCTCAGAAGATTAGTAATGGTGTTTTCCTCAAAAGCATAAGAAAATGGCATTTTCATTTCTTATCAATGCAATTTTCAAACTAGTTTTGTTACATACCTATATCTCAAGCATTTCTAACATCTGCTTTTTCAGAAAATAAACCAAAAATATTCTTTTGGCCTTTTCTATCATCTGACCTTTGGAAAACAACAAAAAGAGGAGGGTTCTGATTTTCTCAATTAGTTGTTTTCGCTTGTGTGTTTTTTTAATGATGTATGAATGGGCTATTTCTCAGCAATCCAGGGAGTTCATTAAGATAAATGAATAGACTTCCATCAACATACTTGTTTCCTTGATACTGGTGCTCTGGCCTTCAAGAAGAAAACAAGAGCCACCTGAAAAGAAATAATGGCTTTTTTCAGGCAGCAATTTAAGTTCTGTTACAGCAATTGGAAGTTAATATTGTAGGGAAAAGAGATACAAGGTCTTTTAAAATCCACACTCTCCTAAGAGATGAGCTTTCTTGTTTTATTCCAGTATATTCCACAAGGTGGCACTTTTCATGGAGGCTGGGAAGGGGGGTTGGAGGGGGGGATCTGAGCCTAGGCTAAAGAGGTATTTCTGAAGACTTCATTCTAATTGTATTTTTGTGCACATACTTAACTCTTGTCTAGCACTTGTTTTTTAGGAGGCAAATAGTCTTCATACTATTCTGTAACTTAGACATTTTAGTTGTTAGCTAAGTTCTGAAGAATTGCAATTAAATTTTTCTGGAGGATGGATAATACTCTCATTTTGATCATTTAAGTGGATAAAGAAAGCTTAGGCATTCATTTATTTAAGATGCATTTTTGAGGTAGCTAAATACCTCACTTTTCTAGGTGCAAAAGTTTCCAAGATGGACAGACTTACTACTAAAAAGGCAGCACTAGGTCTTGTTAGGAGTGTAAAACTCCACCAGTGCCCCAGCCCACGTACCAAACCCATGTTTGCTGCTTTCACATCCCCACATCCCCTACCATCGTGGCCTTTAGACATTAATTCAGTGTCTTAACTCTAATTTTAAAAACGGATGAACAAAATAAGTAGCACATCAGTTACTAAATAGCAAAACTATTTTTTTCTACAGAATTGGCTATGCTGAAATAGCCCTGAAATACTAAAAGACCTGCTAATTTTTACATTTGTATAAGCACAAGTGTAAATTCACAGGAAATTACAATTTAAAATTTTTTTTTTTGTCTAGACATGAGTATGATAATTTAGGAATATATCTACACTAGTTTTTAATTTCTCCATTTGTGTAGTTCTCGGCAATTTTATTATAGATATAAATATAGATATCCCTATACTCATGTTTTAATTCACAGGTCTGCCCCAAAACCCATTAACCCCCAAGTTTTAGTTCATTTTAGAAGTCACTTTCCCCAGTTAGTGTCATTGAAATTTAGGAGGAAGGAAATCACAGTATTTTTCAGAGTTTCCTTAACACAGCATAACAGAAGGCAGTTTATTCCTAAGGAACGAGGGAAATTCCATAGTGCCTGCTTAGCTTTCCTAAAGGGTAGCCGGCAGGCAAGTCTCAGTAATTCACACTGAATCAAAATAACGCACACACCAGAGGCTGTCCAAAAGCTCATAAATCATCGGCCTCGTCCCTCTGCTTCAAGTCCCACTGAAGCAGGCCGAATTCGAGCCACGAATTTTGTATCAGTTGGGCCAGTGTTAATTCTGCCCGAACCCCTTCGGGGCGCGCTGCACGGGCCCCGCCCCTTTGGCTGTAGAGCGGCAGTGGGCGGAGCTGGCTGGGACCCGCCCGCCGCTCACCTGTTTTTGCTAAAATGACGTGCAGACCCGGCTGGAAACGCCGTGGTCCACGTGCCTGCTGCTGTCTCAGAGGCATCTGTTCTGCAGTCTTCGGACGTCAAATGTCCCGAGAAGTAAACGGGTGTCTTCTGTACATAAATAAGTACAACACAATTCTCCGGAGTTCAGGTAATAAAGAGATGCTGCTCTGTATGAAGCTATCAGGCATCTCTCAAGCTCTAAGCTCAGTTGCTTTTTTTTTTTTTAAGAGGATATGTGTAATTACAGGAAAGTTTTTTTTTTTCAATTTTCTATCATTCTACATATATGATGGCAAAAGATATGCCTGGAAGGGTTTTGTTGTGTAACTTGTTTATTTTCTGCTTCATCCTCAGTTGCCAAAAGCTCCTAACTCTTGTTCCAATTTTTTGTCTTTTTTTTTTTTTTTTGTCAAGTAATTAAAGATATGTAAGCAAAGTATCTGGTGTAGTAGGGGAATTTCCTGGTTAGAGGAACTTTTGTGTGAATTGTTTTGTTAAGCAAATAATCCTTTATTTTAGGTGTTTGGATTGTCAAATGTAGGTTTTTCTTAAAGGGGGCACATAACTATAATATTACTACCAAGAACTATGACTGTAGCACTAATCAGCAAGCATATTGGTAGAG